TCTCCCCTCTCCCCTCTCCCCTCTCCCCAAACCCTCCAGATTTCAGGCTAAGTAATTGTGCTTCACGTGTGAGCTGTCTGTGATAGTTTGAAACCTGTGTATTTGGGGAGATTGGTCTATGCCTGATACTCCATAGAGTTGTTTGACTTTCTTTGCCCTTTTAAGTTTGTTATGCTGCCATGTTTATTATTGTGCATGTATTAACTTCTATTATATAGCTAGGCATGTTGATCTGTTGTGTCATTTTTCTCCTTTATTTAAAAGTTTTCTAAGCTTCTCTGTAAGTATGAGATGCATGTTGGGTTTTGTTTTCCGTTTGCCTTCCCCCAGTTTGCAGTGTATTTTTCACTCTGTCATAATGAAGAAGAAATCCATTACATATCTTTCATGATTTTTAAAAGTACACTTTGCATAACAACGCAAAGAATTCCTTCCAGAATTTCTTGAGGAGGTGCCTTGGTCTGTGTGTGGATCACAGCCCTAAGTTCGACCCCACAAGAAGAGAGTTTTTAAGTGTCAGGGTAAAGCCTGTTAAGTTGGCCATGTGGTGCCAGACTGTGAGCAGTGCTCTCTGCAGGCAAACGGAGCTGGTGTGCCCTCCCAGCTGGCAGGGGCCAGCTGGCGACACCCTGACCAAGGAAACGTGCTGAGCCCTGCTGGGAACATGGCCTGCCTTGTGAAACAACATGGCTTTGGGATTGCAGTTTTCTGCTTGTCAGTTTGGGGTTGCAAAATGAGAACCTCAGCTGAGTAAGCATAACGTGCTGTCTTTCCAAAACACATGATCTTTCCTCCTTCTGAAGGAGAAGGTAGGAAAAGGCTGACTAGCCTCACCACTCCTTTGTGTTAGTGTGGAGGGTGGATAGTTCCTCTGCCTTATGATTTAGTGTTTGTATTTTGTTTTTGTGCCTACATTTCTCCCATTTCCTCCTCTTTCCACTCAACTCGACCACCCGTATTTTGCAGCCTGGTGACAGACAGCTGCCCCCCGCAAGAGTCCCTGCTCCAGAGGGGCCTTCAGGAATGTCAGAATTCAGATCAAAAGCTCAAGTGCATTTTTGTTTTCTGTATTAAGGATGGAGAGAGACCTTTCTGTCACCCAGCGTTAAGATACATAGGCAATTCCTGACAAGTAATACATCACTGCTTGGTTCGGTGTCTGACCTGAACCACTTCATCTCATTCACAATGCAATGCCAAGCCTTGGCAGTCTATTCCTTACGTTCATGGAGATTCCACCCAGTGCCATATTGTCAAGTAGTTTCTCTAGCCAAACCTATCTTCTCTGAACTGTAAAGGGCACAGAAATTCTCTTTTAAGTGCCCTGGATTTCATCAGGAAGTTGATTTATTCTTTATAGGTGTTGTGAAGAAGTTAAGCACTGCCGCTCTCAGGAAAGTGTATATTTTGATTGCTTTCTGCATGATTTTTAATATATTATTAGGAAAATTTGCTGCTTCTAAAAGTGTAAAGGATGAATACTGCTAAGTGGAAGAGGGCTTAGCCTCCCTTAGCAATTTGACTCTATTTTCACTTCACTGTAGATCAATTTTAGCAGTAAATCCCTACCACATGAGTAGCCAAGTCTCTGCTGCCTTCAGCAGTGTCAAGACCTTGGGTAATCTCTTATGTTCCTAATTTTTTTGGTAGGTAAGAGAATGAGAACGTAATCTGTTCTCATGCAAGAATAAATGGTGAAGGGAGGGGTGATGAACTTTTCTCCAATTCATTATTTCTTTTATTTCCACGTGTTTTCACGGCATGTCAAAGCACATTAGAAATGCCTTCCTTGCGCATGTCTCTTCTAAACCCCGCTCCAAACCAGATTACAACAGAATTCTCTGTTCCTCAGGTGGAAGGTAATGGACACTGACCAATTTCTAAATATTCGTGCTGTGAGCTCTAGTTAGCTGCAAATACGTTTGGGCTGGGAAAGGAAGAGTGTTTGGTAACTCACATGACTGGATTTTAACTGCTGGTTTATTTGATATCTTGTCTAAAGCACCAATTCCTGAAAGCAATTCCTTGAGAATTTCAGCCCCTCTGAAACTAGCTGAGGAAAAAATCTAGGTGCACTGTAAAGTTGACACCTAAATGTGACTCAAGTTTTGTATGGGAATATACGCGCAGCCCAGCTGACTGATTTGAGTTGTGATAAATGCAGATGATTGGAAAGGTATGGACAGGAAAATAACACAGAACACCTCTTCTGTGCTTCCTAAAATTTAGAAGGGTCATGAATTACTATATAAAGCTCATTCTTTTCTCACTTTTTAGATAGAGGTGGATTCCTTTTTAAGTCATTTGTCTTCCACTGCCTTATTTAAGTAGCTGTAAATGCAGACTGACAGTTTCTGGTCTTCCTTTCCTGGACTTTATCTTCTCTGCTGTGTGTAGTACTTTTATAATAAGCAGCTACGCACATTCAGTAAGATGGTGACTGACAGCAGAAAGGTTTTGCAAACTCCTTAAAAAACGTTAAGTGTTTTGACTTGGGTTTTTTTCTCTAAACAGAAAAAAATCTTACCAGAACAACTGACTCCTGCACCTCCTTCTCCTCATTCTTCTCCTGAGGGTGACAGTGGCACTACGCAGATACTTAAAGATGGAATTAGTTTGTCTGGTGCAACTGCAACAGTTATATCCACAGGTAAAAGACAAAGAAAAAAAAATTAATGACATTTTTAGCGTGAAATTGCCTCCATTTCAAGCATATCCACAGGTAAAAGACAAAGAAAAAAAAAATTAATGACATTTTTAGCATGAAATTGCCTCCATTTCAAGTAAACTAGTAGTGTCATTTTATGGAAAATGTGCTGCAAACTTATTACTGTGAATCATTATCCAGCTGCCTTGGTTTTTAAAGATATTTGTAGGTGCCAGTGTTACTTTGCAGAATGAGTATTTTGATGCCTGCATTATAACCAGAAGTGCTGGAGCACGGGGGCTTTTGATAGATCTGCTAGACCTGGCAGTTTATTCCTGTCTGAAGAAGGAAACTGTACAGTTCTTTCATATCTATCTCACTCCTTAATGTATGAAATGGGAATAGATGTAGCTAAAACCCCACATGATATTCTGATGTCGTGCAGGCTGTGCTGTAATACAACAAAATGGAGGCTTTATCTTTGTATAGCCTTACACTGAAAGGAACAACCTAGACTGTTTAGACCAAGTAAAGGCAATCAGAATGAGCATCAGTGGTAGATATATACCATGGGGTTGTCTTTGCAGCTTCTCAAATAGGAGAAAAATTAGGGCAGTAACTTGATAAGGCCGGTTTTTTAGAATCACGTCTTGGTAGTTTAGAGCACCTGCCAGTAATTCTTAGTCTATTGGAACTAGTGTATGAACAGAGATCAGTTAAAAGATAAGCACAAATATGACAGCTTTGCTATATTAGTGGGGTAGAGAAGGGTGTTAGAGAGCAGAAGGAAGCGGGTTTAGAACTCAAGCAGGAGAACCTTGATAGAAGATAGAGCGCGCACTTTTTGCATGCTCTGAAAGTATTTATGCATGTTCAGCTTCTGGAGTTGACCAGTACCTCTTTTCATCAAGATTAAAACTAAAAACACTGCATGCAGTTCTAATTTGGAAACATGTCTTAGTTTCTTGGCAGTAAATATGGCTTGTTCTTTTTCAGTGTGTGTTTATGTCAACAAGCATGGAAATTCTGGGCCTCACCTGGATAAGAAGAAAGTTCAGCAGCTTCCGGATCACTTTGGACCAGGTCCTGTCAATGTTGTACTTCAGCAGTCTGTACAGGCTTGTGTGGATTGTGCCTATCAATCCAAAACGGTCTTTGGATTTCTGAAATCTGGCCATCATGGAGGGGAAATGATAACTGGTATGTGAAGATGCTTTGTTTCTTCTGTTTCTTCACTTGATTGCTAACTGCTAGGGCAGAACTGAAGCAGCTGCAATGAGTTTATATCACTTCTGTAACTACGCACAGTTGAGAACATACTTGTGAACTCCTTTACTAAGAGAGTATTGGTGATTTATCTCACTCAGGGTCAAGGATGATTTGAACCATACTTTAAGTTAGAATTTAGCAATAGCAATGTTAAATTACATATACACAGTACAGTTAGATTCTTATACTAAGTAGAGCTCATGCAACTCATTTAGCAGCTGTAGCCAAACATTTGTCAACTAAACTCAGGACGAGTGAAATATCAGGTTTATTAATTCAATTCATTTGCATAATCTTATCCACACATAGTGTTTGTGTTCTTAATGCCTTAACCAAGTGGATGAAAAGTTTCAAACTAATCTGTTTAGCTTCCAGGCAAGTGATTCCACGTGTTAAAGTTACTGTTTCTTCCCTTCCCCCATTCCCCAGAACTGTAGCAATATCTTAGGTCAGTATTCATCCACCTATGTCCCCTATTATGGAATAGGTTTATTTCTGCTACGTATTAATGACAGGTCTACAGATAAATTATCTCTATTTCTCAAACGGAATAGCTGCTGCTTGACATTTTTTTCCTTCTAAACTAGGAAATATTCTATATAGCAGTTAGCACATCAATTCATAATTCCATCACTCACGATAAAAAGACTTTGTGTTACTTTAGTCCCCTTACATTAACACCAGATGTGACAGATGATTAGTGGAATACAAGTTCAATTAAATCCTCATAAAGATGTTGCCGTGTAACAGTATTGAAAAAGCAGCACCCAGACCTGCATATAGCAGAACTATAGTAAGCCTTGCGTATGTGTTCCTGTGAGTTTGTTCACAAAATGGATGCTGCTTCACTGCTGTGTAGTAGAGGTGTAATGGCATTGCACATAGGTAGTTTTGAAACCCATATTGCTTTACTTTTGCAAGATAGATGAAAGTTTGTTACGTTATTAATACCTTGCTGTACTTAATTTAGACAAGTCAATTTTCTTGAACAAAGGGCACTGAGATGTGCATTGCCAGTATTCTCTTTGTGATTGTTTATTGTGAGGGACTAAATCATAGGCCAGTGGCATATCTGGGCTGTGACAATGTAGTTGAAAATCATTATTTCACAGAGGAGAGAGAAATTTCAGAATCTTTATGTAGTTGTGGTTTGTTTACATTCAAAAATTCTGTGCAAAAAGGAATTGCTCTTCTGCACCTGGCCTTGCTCCCAAGGCCTGGATTCAGAGAAACAAACTCTGTAGCCCTGTATTTGAGGAACTTGGTGTTGTTGACCGCTCCTGAAGCAGAGTGCTAGTCCAGGTGACAGCAAGCCACAAGACTCCAGTGGGTTTCTGATGTTCTTGAGCTCTTGCCTTCTCATAGGCTTGTCAAACAGGTTGCTGAGAAGCGGGTGAGCAAACACTCCCTGTCATTTTATCAAAAAACTGCGTGATGTATTTTGAGAAGCAGGAAACGTGGCTTAGGTTAATGTAGCACGTGACAACTAGCTGTGCATGTGAGCAGTAAGGAAGAAGAGTAAAGCTGCAGTAGAATAAAATGAAGAATTATAGAATGAAATGGTGGGAGTGTTTTCTTGTAGAGTTTTTGTTTGAAAGTGGTTTTGGAGTGTGGCTTGTTGTTCAGGGTTGTTTTGGGATTTGTTTTCATTTTGTTTTAGACTGGCAAGAAAAAAAGTAAATGTTGCAGCAGAGAATAAGCAAAGAAGTCTAAAGTTTTTTGTGGATTGATACTTCCATGATGAGTATTATACTTGCCGTAGGAGGAAACTGTATGCTGATGAGGACGTGGGTAAAATAGTCTTGCTAGAATACATGTGAATAATTAGTGGGTTCTTTTGGTTCAGCTTCCAAAGAAAATAATTGTTTTGAATAGAATTGAATTTAGAATTTTTCCATCTTTTCGTACTCAAACAAAAGCACAAACAGTTTTATTTTTGCTTGATGCATAAGGTTTCAATTCAGGCAAATATAACTGAAAGGAAATTAAAGGCTTGATTAGCAAGCCCACTAATGGTGGTGGTGGTGTCAGCTCTTGTAGTGTAGAGACTATGGTGTTTGGTGGGATGAAACAGACTGAGGCTCAGATAAATAATCTCAAGCAGAGAGTTAAAATCAGACTTTTGGGTGAGTTTCTTCACTATCAGACAAACACATTTCTCTGATGGTTTAGCTCTCAGCCTTTCTCCTGCTTGAATCCGGTATTTAAAACATACTTTCACAATGGAAGGTGAAGAAATGGGAATGACTCTTCATCTCGGGGGCTGGGATTGTACACACAAGCTCCGGTCCCTGTTTATTTGTCATTAAAGGTTGAGATTATTGCGCCTTAGAAGTACTCCTTTTTATTTTTTTCCCTTAGCATTTGTCTGGGAAGTAAGACTTGTGTTGTCCCCAGGCAGAGCAGCCAGTTGAACCTATGGCTCTGGATCCCACACCCTTAGTTGGAGTTTGTACGGTTGCCCTCAGGTGTTCAGTGTACAAAGGAGCTGTGTTTGCCCAGAATCTTTATTTGTGGATTTTTCCCATGGTATGTCTTGCTGGGGCAGTCACATTGCCTCAGCTGTTTCTTGCTTTATCCTCCTGACAACTCTAAGATAATATTGTTCTTTTCAGTGCTTCTTTTCAAAATGAGAAATTAGGGCATGGAGAATAAGTGATTTCCCTACGGTCATATAAGAAGATCCATAAGGCTATTATAAAGCATTTTAGATTTTTGCTGTGGCTGACTACTACCTTGCAGTAAATTTGTCAGGAGATCAGGCTGTGCTAGGTCTCACAGCCCATTTGCTCCCCAGAACTGGTTGAGTTCCAAGCAAAAATTTGCCTTCAGAGACCCCTTTGCCAAACAGAGGCTAGAGGACCTTGTGTCTGAGCCACATGTGGGACTGTGAATCATTAGCATTTCCTTTGAACCTTGGAGCCTGGAAAAACTGAATGGGCTGTGGAAACACGTTGGTCTGGGATTTGTCCAGGCTTTTGTACTGACTCTTAAACTTTAAGCACTTGCTTTGGGTCAGTCTGTCATGAAAGCAGATGAGAGAGGTAGCACATTGTTCTTGATGCTAGATGGTTAACTTGCATTAACTCTAGTCAGAAACTTCCTTACATCAACAGTGTAATTGACACTTCTGATTTCCTAAGGAAGCCTAAAATATGCTAAACTTGGGCGTTTTCTTGGGTTTTGTATACTGTCTTTTTTTTAACACAATATGAGAATGTTCCTTTATTCATATCTGTGAATAAAGGCTTTCTTGTCATTTCTGATTTTTTTTTTTTTTTTTAAATGCATCTGCTACCAACAAAATGTGATTCTTGAAAGCTCTACTTATCGTTTGGAAACTTATGTTAACAACAGAAAGCTGTGTGACAGGCTGAAAACCAAGAAGACAAATTGATGCATAAACCTGGTGTTTATGCAGCTTCTTTCTAGCCTTAAGCTTAAATTACAAGTTCATTCTTTTCCTGCTTTGTCGTAATGTCTTTGTAATCAGAAGTAACTAAAAGTTTCGGCTAATTTAATGGGAATTATGTACCTGTATATTGGTAGTATTCAGTCTTTTCAAAATTTCACTGATTTTCAGAAAAAAAAAATCATCAGCTGCAACACTCTGGGCGGCAAGGAAGGAGGTCAACAAGTAAAAGATTGTAGGTACATGTCCAGGCTCTTTGTAATCACTCATTTTAAAAGACACCAGATCCATTTCTGGCTGTTGTGGTATCTCTGCCACCTAGATCCCGTTGAAATAAAGGGGAGCTTGACCGCTGTACTGTTGACAGCACGACAGATTTCTCTAGTGATAAAATAGTGAATAGCGAAACAGTTTATGTAGTCACAATTTCAGTGGTAATGGATACTAGCACATTACCACAGGTATGTTCAGTTCAGTTAGAAACTGAGAAAAAAAAAATCTTCAAGTTAATTGTTTCCCTTTTTTTTTTTAATTTTGAGGAGGTTTTTTTGGTGTTTTTTTTTTTTTTAGCAAGAACTGTAAAGGGTCTTTTCTGTGTTTTCTCCTACAAATAGGTGGTGAAGAGCTTGCTGTTTTATAAACAACAGAAATTACACGTAAGGTTTTGGTGATGAGGGAGCAGTTACAAGTTTTATAATGCTGGTGTGAATCCAAAGTAATTTTATTAAAATCAGTTCCCATAGAGCAAAGTTAAGCTGGCATGGATCCAACGGAAGGTCAAATCAGTCCTTTGGGTGTAAATTTGTTAAACTACCAGAATGATTGTTTACTCCTCTCATGTCTTGTGTGGTTTAAATCAAATCTGGATGTCTTCTCCTTTAAGTTAATGGTGGTGTTTTACTGTGCGTCATGATGCTTGGGGGGTGTTTGACATCATCTTCTTATTCACAGCTTCCTTTGATGGGGAAAAGCACGCCATCAATCTTCCTTCTGTAAACAGCGCATCGTTTGTCCTCCGCTTCTTGGAGAAACTCTGCCACAGCCTGCAGTGTGATAATCTCTTTAGTAGCCAGCCTTTCAGCCCGTACATGGGATGTGCCCATAGTCCTATGGAGTACGATAGGAACAAACCAGGTACTGTTAAACAACTGTTATTTTCAAGTGCAGTTATTTTTGAGAAGTGTGGCGACTTCACGAAACTTTTTAATCTCTTTCTGTGACGTGGATTGATTGAAATGAATACGCTTCAGTTCTTAGTGAATTGGTTCCAGTGCAGTAGTGCTTTGACAGGATGTGATAGCTCATACCACATGTGCAGAAATCATTTTGTTCAGCAAACTCCTCCATGTAGCCAAGCCAGGAAACGTATTTATTGTACCACTGTGATACTGCTAAAAGGACAAGCTCAAAACTTCACATTTCATTTGATACATTTATGTTTAGATCATAAAATAAACTTACAAAAAGATACTTACTGCCTTATGAAAAGGGGTTTGCCCTGAAAGGGAATTCAGTCTAGCCCTTCCCACACCAGTAAGAGGTCCTTTCTTCCCTCTTTATTCGCCTTACTCAGTGATGGCTCCAAAAATTTTGTATTCTCCTATATACATTCCAGTCCTCTAGTAGAAAAGGTGGGATTTGCAGGTGGCTGCTTGTGATATTTTGTATGAGGCCAGTATTTTTTCTGCACTGGGAGTGTAGAGCGAGGGGGAAGTGACTTGCACAAGGTCTCCCATCAGGTCATTTGCAGGGCCTGGTATTACAAATCCCAGCCGAAGGGTTACCAGGAGCCACAGCTGAGAGAACCTTGATGTCACGGTAATTTCAGAAGATTCACATTGCGTGTGAAACGTCCTCACAGCTGTCTGATAGCTGGGCCTGTCTTCTGGGTGCTGCTGTAGAAAATAATTCCCCCCCTTCCCTTTCTAACAGAGAAATTATGTTTATGATTTCTGTCATGTAAATGTCATTCGTTTTAACTCTTCTCAGAAGAGTAGCCAGGGTCAAGGTAATTTGGGTGATGATAGTATAAACTAAGCTGTACTTTAGCTTTGAAAGTTTGTATTAAAATGACTGAGTCTGTGTGACACAAGAAACTGAAATGCAACCTGGTGAATGGTTGATATATGTCTTTGCTTTTGTCCCTGGATTTTCCCCATGAGGAGCTTTATGCTAGAATAATAGGTGGTGACTTTCCTCTTCACAGCAAAAGAAGAAATACCTGAAAGCAGGAGTGCTAAACGATACTCTCAGGACTCTCCACCGTACACTGCTCCTCTTTCTCCTAAGCTTCCCAGAAATGACGCTCATCCATCTGAAGGTAATTACATTATGTCGGTGTTATATATGAGGATTATTTATGGTTTCAGTATTTCCAGTCAAAAAGGACCGAGTTCAACATATGTCTGGTTTGTCTCTAGCCTTTGACAAGTCAGGGTGAAAGTATGTTAATTATTGATCACTGGCACAGATTTTTGCACTTAAGGAAGATCTACTGCAAGTTCCAGCAGTCCTTCTCCTAAACCTGCTAGCCTTTTTTGTGAGGGGCTCAGGCAAATAGGTGACGGATGAAGCAGCCTGCTTCATGTATGGCTATTTAGCAGAAACCAGTTGCCATGGAATGGATTAGGAGATGAAATAGAAGCAACTCTTAATAACTCTAGGCTGGGGCTATTAGGTGAGTAAGGGTGTAGCTTGATGATACAATTCAGCTGAGTTTATGGCTAGCTGCCACTGAAAGTTGTGTTGCTTCTGCTTTCCCTTGCCTCCTTGTCCCTGCAGTGGGTCCTAGGCCCTCCAGCTGGGTGGTAAGCTGAACCAGCAAGCAAAAGCACAGAAAATATTTTGGTGAAGCAGAGAGTAGTTTGCAGTTTACTTCTCTGAACTGACTCACTGTGGACTGGGATGAGCACAGGGAAGAGTTAAGAGTTGAATAAAATGCAGCCGTGGCCAGGGGAGCCACGAAGCACCTGGCTGTTGGATTGATTTAGCTCACTGATGAATAGCACCTTTTCCTGCACTGCAGCTCAGCTACAGTAACTGAGCACGTGTCTGGTCTTAGTCTGCCTCAGATGTGAAGTAAAGCATCTAGGATTAAACCTCAGTGAGACTTAGGAAAATGTGCCTTTACTCTGCATTTGCTTCTTAACTGGTTAAGCCACAGTAACTTGTTGATGTTGACTTGTCCCAGCTGATAGTACTTTCTCTTGCTGCAGGATACTTGCACAGCATTTCCAATGGCTTTTTTGAAATACGGCAGAGATTAGTTGTCTCTTCCTTCATATTATTTTTTTCTTCTTTTTGGAGATTTTGTGTCTATTAGCATCAGTGGGGAAAGAATGATCTCTTTTTCTGTGCAGAAAATCATAGGACTACAGTTTAAGAAGAAAAGGATATAAAATTAAAATGTTTGAAATTATAGCTTATTTAAAATGGTACATCTTACCATTTTATATATATGTAGCATATTGACTTCTTTGTATATAATAACAGCAGCAGGAAATACAGTTCCGCTTTGATTATTGATTTCTGTGTCTTTCCAAAAGGAGTACCGGCTTAATTACACAGATAGATTGTACACCTAGGTCAGATATTTCTGCTAGGTAATTTACTAAGTGTAGAGCACTTAATTGTACTCAAATTAAGTTGTTTCAGTTGGAGCAAAACAAATGTTTGAGTAGATCTGCATTATCTTGTAAGAAATCTCCTTCAAAGTAAACATGCATACACATGCTGCTTTTTAATCCTTCTTTGCTAATGGATCCCTTTTACAGATGAAGTCAGTGTATTCCTTAAAATACATTTTAAGATCAACAGTTCATTATAAAGTACAGTTACCTGGATAAAAAATAATTAAAGTAAGTGTTTTGCCATGGTTTCAGAGGTTTGAATTTGTACTCTGTGCATTTCAAGAGGCAAAGTGTTCTCTAGTGTTGTGTGTTTCCCATTAGGGCAATGTCCTGTGCTGAAAATCTGGAGGTAATTTTATAGCGGTCAGTCATGGGTTGGTTAGCAAGAAAGATCTGCCCCCAAAAAGTTCTGGTTCCATTGAGACGTAGTTGTCTTGAAATAGTTGTTTTGAAATATCATTTGAAGGAAAAATGGAATAATTGTGGGAAAGGATCTTTCGAACAGCTCATTTTCCTTCTGATCTGCTCAGGGACATGTTTTGCAGATTTTGCTATCTTTCCTGCTCACTAACAGTTTCTTCTTAAAGTTATGAAAGATAAAGGAGGTGGGGGTGGGGAATAACTGTCTCCCTCCTCCTATAAACAGGGTGTTCTTACTGCTGTGGCTGATTACATCATTCCCATTATGTATGAGGCAGAACAACTGCCTTCTAATTCCCAGAGGAGCTTGAAGAAAACAAACCATCCAATTCCTGCGAAGGCCTCCAGTGTTTTAACATTCTGTCATTTTTACGTTTGAAACATGAGGCCTTTTATTGGCCTTTTATTAATCTACCCAGAGATCAGGCATTCTGATGGAACCTCCCATCACTTTGCATACCGCTGGTATTCACAACTGCTCAAAATGTCGAGGTAGGAGAAGTGTGTCATTCGTTACTCCATGGATTGCAAAGCTCCATTTGCTAGATGTGATTTTAAATCAGCTGTTACACCAGTTGACCACTTTTTTGACAAGGTTGCAGATGCGTTTTGTTTGTAGAGAAGCTAGATGGATGGAAAGGGAAGTCGATTGGACACTATAGTTGCTGAACAGAAATACCTTCTCTAAAAGATGATGGCCCTGGGAAATACGCCAGCTTTTTCACCTCGATCATGTGAATTGAGAATTTACAGTAGGATAAATTCAAATGCTGGTATCTTGGGGAAAAAAGCAGAGTTGATCTTTATGTATCTTTGGGATATATAACATGAGAAAGAAAACTGGGATATAATTGGAATAAATACAATTAAATTATTTTGTAATACAGTCAATTTAAAAAATGTGCCTTCAGAAATCTTGACAAAGATTATGTAAAACAATTATTTAAAAAAAAAATATATTTGAGACCTCTGTTTACTCTGACTACAAAAAGGGTTTTTCTTAAGATGTTATGTGGAGTTGGCTGATCTATGCTTAAATACCCTGGTTGAAACTTCCTGCTGGGGAGTATAGTTTCCATTGTTTCATCCTACCTTTCAAGGCTTCTGAAATCTGAATCTACAGGTTCAGTCAGTTACACCTTAGACTCCTTCATATAGCTTTGCTGTCACTATTTAAAATATCACCTCTGCCTTTTGGCCTTGAACTGAGATTTCTGTTCGTGGTTTTATTCTCCACAGTTCTAATCTTCCCCTGGTTGACTACCCTTTAATTTTATAGTGCGTGTCATTGACTACATCTCTTAAAGTCTTCAAAACTCTATAGAATGATGGGTTTTGGTTTTCATTTTGGTAAGTTGCTGCAACTACTTCAAGTGACAAATGTAAAGAAGTTTTCTTGTTTGTTTATTTTTTCTGAAAACCTCAGTAGCCACTTCTTTGCTATTGTGATTCAAATCTAACAAACTAAAAACTTTTGCAGTGGTTGTTTTGAGGGTTGTATATGTGAAAGAGAAGGGCTTGTGTCCATAAAAGCTGCTTTATTCCATGACTGTCAAGTTTAATAAAAGACGTTACATCATCTTGCAGATCTTCCCTTACTGAATTCACTAAGTAAGGAGCTGGCTCTTTGAGTGCCTTTGTTCCCTTTCAGGATTATGGCGTCTGAGGACCAAAATACGCTTAACAGCTCCTCGCTGTCCTGGTTTGGCTGGGACAGAATCATAGGCCAGCCATGCTAGGCAGGCTGTTAGCAGTTTTGAGTCAGCCAGGGCAGCTGACCCAAGTTGGATGATGAGACACCAATGGTGAGTGAAATGGATGACTGGCTGTGACAATAAGCAGATAATATGTCTGCCTCTCCACCAGCCAGTATCTGTACTGTAGAATGAACATCTGATAAATACATGGAATTGATCGGTAAAGTGTTGGAAAGATTGTCCCGGTTGGAGGATAGGTTCCACTCCATCTGTACCGATGTATGTCTTGGCCAACAGGAGCAAGTGTTTTCCTGTAAGGCCTGCTCAAGAGAAACTGTACATCATGAGGTACCCTGTGGTTCTTCCTGTGTAACCATGGGGAAGGCACGAGAAAATGAGATAGAAAACCTACCTTGGTCTTCCAGGCACATATCAATGAATTATAAGGTAAAATGAGCACGAAAAGGGGCCCTGTCAGGAGAAGTGCTGCTCCAGTTTCCAGAGGGCAGCTCTGCAGACAGCATAGATGGGCTTCAGATCCTAATTTAAGAGGTGTGAGTAAAGGTGATGAGAGCGTAGTCCATGTGAGCTGCTCGCATGCAAATGTTAACGACAGGCACTGTTCAAAATTAGAGGCACCCTGCCACCAGCCTAGGGGGAGGACAGGGACAGCCATGTGTATTGGACTGTGTGCGTTTGATAGCTTGGCACATTAGAACCACAAAAATATAAGGCTTTAGTTGACACGGGTGCACAATGCACCTTAATGCCATCAAATTACAAAGGAACGAACTCCATTTGTATTTCTGGAGTGGCGGGAGGATCGCAGGAACTGACAGTAGTAGAAGCAGAAATGAGTCTGAAATGGCACTGGTGACGATATACTAATAGAGACTCCCTGATCCCCATCCATGAGCTGATCCATCAACTGGAGAACCAAGGTGTGATCAGCGGGGCATGCTCAGCCTTTAACAGTCCCATATGGCCAGTGCAGAAGTCCAATAGAGAGTGGAGACTGACAGTGGACTTTCGTGGCCCGAATGAAGTCACACCACTGCTGAGTGCTGCCATGCCAGACATGGTAGAACTTCTGTACGAACTGGAGTCAAAGGCAGCCAGGTGGTACTCCACTAGTGACATTGCTAACGCGTTTTTCTCTATTCCTTTGGTGGTGGAGTACAGGCCACAGTTTGCTTTCACCTGGAGGGGTGTCCAGTACACCTGAAATCGATTACCTCAGGGGTGGAAACACAGTCCCACGATTTGCCATGGACTGATTCAGTCTGCACTGGAAAAGGGTGGAGCTCCTGAACACCTGCAATACATCAGTGACATCATTGTGTGGGGTAATACAGCAGAAGAGGTTTTTGAGAAAGGGGAGAAAGTAATTCGCATTCTTCCAGAAGCTGATTTTGCCATCAAAAGAGGCAAGGTCAAGGGACCTGCAAGGGAAATCCAGTTTCTGGGAATCAAATGGCAAGATGGGCGTCGCCAGATCCTGATGGACGTGATTAACAAAATGACAGCTATGTCTCCACCAAAGAACAAGGAGGAGATGCAAATTTTCTTAGGCATTGAGGGTTTCTGGCCAGTGCATATTCCCAGTTACAGCCAGATTATGAAACCTGTGTATGAAGTGACACAGAAGAGAAACAGTTTTAATTGGGGCCCTGAACAACAACAGGCCTTTGAACAGGTCAAACAAGAGATTGTACATGCAGTATCCCTTGGGCCAGTCCAAACAGGACAGGACAATAAAAATGTGCTCTATTCTGCAGCTGGGGATAATGGTCCTACCTGGAGTTTGTGGCCAAAAAACACCAGGGGAGACTTGAGGTTGACCCCTGGGATTTTGGAGTCGAAGATGCAAGGGCTGCAAGGCCAACTATAGTCCGACTGAAAAAGAAATACAGGCAGCATACGAAGGAGTTAGAGCTGCTTCAGAAGTCATTGCTACTGAAGCATGGCTTCTCCTGGCTCAGTTCTGAGCTGTATGGTGTTAATCGTTATATAATACCAATGGTGCTCATTAAGTGGTTTTCAGGCCAACATAGTGGTGATGACTGGAGCTAACCTTATCAAGTAACATCGGACTGCTTCCTTGAGGTGGACTTGCAACCCATGGGCATGAGCCACGATGAAATTTGTACCATCTTTCCTGCCCTGAGACACTGCGATGATAGATGGAATCCACGGTTCTGGACTGAATTAATTCAATGAACCTTTTGGAGAAATAACCCATGAGCAGGAGACTAGTACCTGTCTGTATATGCGTATTGGAAAAATGGGAAAGAAGAGTAGTGATGTGGGCATGATGTAAATGGTATGGGCTAAGGGGTGGAGTGCTGTCCTGATTTGACTGGGTTAGAATCGCAGCCCAGCTGTGCTGGGCAGGCTGACAGAGTTTTGAGTCAGCCAGGGGAGCTGACCTGAGCTAGCTACGGGTGTAGCCTGTACCGTAATGTCATGGTCATCGTAAAGGGAGGTTTGCTGAGGAAGGCGAGCTCCTGTGGGATTCCAGTGGGGTTCTGGCTGGTGTCTTGCTGGGATTCCTCCTGCTCCTCCTCTGGTTTCTCCCTGCTCCTGAGGACTGCTCTCCTGTCAGTTGTGATGGCTGGATATTCATTGGGCTGGATTTGTATACCTTTGTTGGTAGTAGTCCTGTTTCATTAAATCTGTTTTTGCTTCAACCCATGGGTCTGCCCTCCCTTTCTCAATTCCCCTTCCTGGCTGGTGAGAGGTCATTGGGTGACAGAGCAACTGTTACATTTCAGCCCCAGATCCAGGCTAACTGTAGACACTCACTGCACTCCACTTTTAAACAGGTTTCAGCAGAGAATCTGAGGCCTTGTGAAGCATGTTGAAAACATGCTTGAGAAGCTCACTGGGTTTTTTAGGAAGAAACTCTTCCTTTACTTTTACTTGGGTATTTGCCCAAGAAATTCTTGAAAGTTGTCATATAAGAAGAGTAGTAAAAAAACTTATTTCAGGAACTTGTTTTGCAGAACGTACTAGTTCTTATCCCAAAGAATATGCTGCTTCACTAGCATATGTTTTATAACTTCACTAGAGTAATTTTCAAGATGGTAGTGTGGGGTTTACGCTTCTGTGAACCTGTTAGCTGTATTTTCCAGCTCTTAACTCTCCTGCCAAGGCAGCATTTGTTTCGTACAGATTTGTACATCATGCTTCCAACTTCTTTCTTGGGCTAGATATTGGCCTGATGCAAACAGAGAAGAATACATGTGATTGCTAGACAATGAAGTGGTGGTGTTCTTGTTGATTTGGGGGAGTTTTCCCCTCTCATAGCATCTTTCTCCTTATCAGACCTGAATTTAGTTGACTGAGAGTGGAATTTTCACTAATCAAGCAAACTTCGCTCCTGTCTCGTGGCACAGGGAAAGGGACCCGCTGAAGTCTGCTCATCTGGCTTCAAAACAGTATTGACAGGTTCTAAAATTTCAGGAGTCTTCTAAGCAGGTGTTTGCGTTTTGCACAGTAGAAATTAGCTGTTAAGTGATAAGAAGTAAAAAGGAGAATGTTGTTATACTCCCTTTTTGAGACCTGATTCTGGTTTTTTTATACTTGCTCAGTGGGTTCGGTAATTTACATGTACCTTAGCTTTCCAGAGTCTGTGCTCATGGACCCTGCCCTGTGCAAAGAACTAACTGTGTGTAGATGTGGCATTGTGGTCAAAACGTGTTACACTAGTGTGCTGTACCGGGCACTCACAGCCTGCTGTGGCTTTGACTGTAACCTGTTCAGTTTTTAATGATGGCCTCTGTGTCTGAATATGTTGGGATCTAGAGATGATAATTGTCCACTTGTGTTGTTACGAAGTTAGTGACTCCCTCTGCTGTTTAGAACAAATTAAACAATAGTTAGTTAACATGAGACATTTTATTTATATTAAAAATTTCCTGTGAGATAAACTTAAGGAAAAGGGGCAAACATTGAGCAGCAGTGATTGTCTCGCAAGAGATTTGTTAACAGATTTATGATATGTCGGTATCTTCAAGAGAACATAGCAAGGAGTTAAATAACAAAGGTATAATGTCCATAACTTTGAACATATTAATACTTACTTTTTGTGTAGCAGAAACATTACCTGTAGAAGAAAACAGCACTTCCAAAGAACACCGATTTTCTGAGGACTCTATGGATTCTGCACTTAGTTCTGTAAATCCTTCAAGCCCTGCCCGTCGAAATTCCACAGAATATCGTACTTCAGGGAGTGCAGCATATTACAGAAATTCCCTTCAGCCAGTGACTGCTACCTCAAATTCAGCCCCAATCCTGCGCAGGCTGTCCTTGAGCTCTGCTGGGAGCAGCGGTTACTATGAAGTTAGTAGGAATCGAATACAGAGGCGGATTGAAGGTATGCTGTATAACTAAACTGTCCAAAGTATAGAGCTGCTTTTATTAACGTACGAAGTCTGAGGGTTATGAATAAAGAAGTTCTTTGCCATAGGAAAGCTTGCATATGGAGTGAAATGTGCTGTTGCCAAGCATGTCAGGCTTGCTAACGTAACTGCAAATGCAGAACTTAAGCCTATTAGAACTAATGCTGCGGTGCAAGCTGGGTTGGGGGTGGGTCTTGCCTGCTGCACCTTCCTCTCACTGCTGTTAACGGACCCTGCAGCAGGCCGGACTGAGGAGGGCTAGCTATATGCAGCTCACTTCCTGAGCATCTTACCAACTCTTACCGTGTTGCTGAAATACGGGGATAGGGTTTCCTCCTGTCCCTCCTGCTGTCTGCACAGCTTAACTTGCCTTTGCCACATTCCCAATTAATGGCATCTTGGGACCCAGGAGCCAAGTACAAGTCGGACTAATCCCTCGAGGTATGTCATAGTGCTAATGTTTATGCTGTTGTAAATATTTGCAGTTATATAAGGCATTTAAAGACAAATGGAACAGTTCAATATTATTTGGAGGAAAATAAAATATCATTTGTTTTAGTATATTGAAAAGAATGCATAATAAAAGCCACGTTAATATTAAGAATGTCTTATGTAAAATGAAATATTATCCCTGTATGGACTAATGATACTTCTTCCTTTCACAATATTTTTATACTAAAAGCTGCAAGTTCCACGACTGGACCAGATCTGAATTCACTGAAAAGGGAACCTTCAAGAATATTGAATAAGGATCCTTCCACCTGGTCAATAGAGGAAGTAATGCGTTTTGTGAAAGAAGCTGATCCACAGGCACTAGCTCCACATGCAGAACTCTTTAGGAGACATGTATGATGCATATCCCTTCTGTTCTAGTAGATTGTGTGTTGCGTTAATCTCTTAAATTACAGCTATCGTGTCTATCACTCTGTTTGCAATTGAAGGTAGAATAGACTCTGCTCGTATGTTAGAGGGTGTCTGAAAATTATTTTTCCACCTGGAACTCTTCCTGCAGTATATTTTCTCTGTGTTCTCGTCTTGTTAGACTAAAGTAAATACCCACTGCTTTCCAGCTTATATGGAATAATACTTCCAGTGCTGGAAGTACCCAGGTTCTAATGGCCAACATCTGTGATAACTGTAGAGAAGATGGCATTCTCATGTACAGTATGGGGCATTTTGCCTACATAGATGACACCTCTCTAAGACAGTCTGTTTTGGAGACTGATTATCCTGTTGTACCTCATTAGCTTTACGCTTGATCATTAATAATACAATTCAGAGAAACATCTGAAATGTTTAATTAATCTGTTTTTAAAAAAGACCTAACTAGATGTCATATTTAGAGACATAAACTGTGTCTGTTTCTCTGTGCTGTTTTTGATCTCCTCTCTTCCTTCTCACTGTGCTTTTCTATGTCAGTTTGCTCAGCAAAGAGCTGTTTTCTTACTTTATTGTATATGTGGCCCTCCAAAAAGAGGTTGTCTTTCTCTTTAGTAGTGTTTCACCCTCATTTGGCACCAGCTTCTACTAACAGTTAAATCTCAGATAAAGCTGGATTGGAAGGAAAACTCAAAATAACTTTTGACGGAGCTTCCTGTCTTATGTTTCATTCTTAGTTGTATAACAAGACTAAACGTGACTTGTTTTGTCAGGTTTGTGTTTAAAAAAAGTCAGACAGAGTGGTTTCCTTTATGGTGTTTTAAGGAGCTAGTTGCCTGACTACAGTATGTAATGCTACTAATAGCTTAGGACTGTTGCATTTCAGCAGCTTCTCAAAAAGGCAGTCGGGATCTGACTAAGTTGTCCTTGGTCTTGATCCTTACAATCTGGTTTAACCTGGACATAGATCTGTCTTGTTTCACAGATTTAGATGGTCTGTAGCCCTTTCCTCCATGTGACTGTTTGCATGCGCATGCCAGAATCCTCCCGCAGCTGTGTTCAAGGTTCAGTGCAAGGCCTCAGTGCTTGGATCATTTAATCTCTAACTGCACAGACCTTCCTTTGCAGCTTTTTTTTTTTTTTTTTTTTTTTTCCCTTGACCCATTCACTTTTTTCCCAGCTAGTACCTGATTTTGAGGGCTGTTTGGTCAGTTTCTTTTACTTGCTATAATTTTCTTTAGCATCTTAAATACTTTAATCATACGTTAAAAAAATACTAAAATAAATTCAATTTCAGTGGCCCTCTGTAAATATCAAGTTATACTAAGTTACTGTTTATGTATAGAAGATAAATTTTTACTACAGTATAAACAAATGTAATGTATTTTCCAGTTTTACCATGCAGCTTGTTAAAGTAGTTGTATGTTGTTGTGTTTATTCTCTTCCTTCTGCAGGAAATTGATGGGAAGGCACTGCTCTTACTGAGGAGTGATATGATAATGAAATACATGGGACTGAAGCTGGGGCCTGCCCTAAAGTTGTGCTACCACATTGAAAGACTTAAACAAGGGAAGTACTAGCCAGTGGGGATACCACAAATACGTGTGTTCGTATCACACTAAGCTCTCAGGTTCACAGACATCGTCTTTATTTGAAACTATTTTGCTAATATAAATAATCTTTATTTTTTAAAAGTGCTCTCAAAATGTAAAAAAGATTATTTTTTTTTCCCCCCCTCTCTATCCTGAATGTCTGTATTACGTTCTAGTATTTCGTGAACTATTTCAGAAAGTTTGCAGGGAAGGACGGTTGATCATACTGGGGGTGGGCAGGGTGGGTAATAGTGCTCTCTGAATCCAGAAAAGTGCGTTCTCTGTTACAGACTTCAGCCAGTGTGTTCATATTCAGAACAAAACAGCTGAATCCCAAAGGAAAATAATAAAACAAACCAGCATCAGGTGTTAATAATTTTTACAGGGGTGGCTGTAAACTTTTATATTGCAAGAAAAATATAAAATAGAAGTTCTCATCTCTGTAGTGAATACTGTGTCTGGTCCTCCAGCAGAGTAATGCTCTAGTATGTTATTCTAGATTATTCTTCCTAAATTTCCATGAAGGGAATAGCCATATGACTTGGTCATGGAGAATGGAGGTGTGGGCAGAGAAGGGTTATGGAGGAAAGGGCTTAATACAAATACAAGCTTTTATAAAGTGTGATTATCAGTCCTTTGGTAAGTTATGAGGACAAATGTACGGTATATTGTCAGTTTATGCAGGCAATAAATATTTGTTTCATGGAAGGGCATATTGGCTGTATAAACAGCCATTTCTGGGATAGGCTGACTTAACTGGAACGACACATCCACATTTTAAACATTCCATCTTTTTGCTAAGTTTGGCATGGGTATGTGTATGACACGTGTGTGTGTCAGGGAAATACATACTATATATATATAAAAATATACATACACACTGTACATATGTATTCAGTTTTTTAATGTGTACTTTGCACTGTGCCAGAGAGAACTGTACAATTTCTTGTTGTTTTTTTTTACCAGTAAATTTACTTGTGTACTACTTTCATATTCATTAGCACCTGTTTAGTTGTCCGTTCTTGGAGTCAGAAGGTGACAAACAATCGAAGAGTGGCTTTACTGATACAGGCGAGATCCCTGTACTATGCAATACTCTTGGTTATTCATCCCTTAACTCTGAGCCATATATTCTGGTGTATTTCTGGAAAGACATATTTGGTTCTGATGTTTTGAGCTTCCTGTAAGGAAGTCCTGCTATATAACCAATAAGCCTTTTTGGGGTAAAATTGGTGCTGTTTGTATAAGCTGCAAGAATGAGTAGTGATAATAAAGCAGTTTGTTGTAACTGCCCGTCGTAATGTGCATCAGGGACAAGAAAATATACTTTCTGTGTAGGAAACTGAATGTACTGTATGTAATAGTGCAAGTGATAAAAACTATTTGCTAGGGAAGGTGTAGTCCTAAAATGGTAGGTTTTATTATATTTCTTACTGCCTTTTTATATGAAAGCATATAGTATAAATCTATTTTTTACAAATTCCTTTTCTGAAAATGCCTTACTTTACCAATAGTCTGATACTTCTCAGGTTTCAGCAGAGATACTGCTGCAAAATAATAAATTTTGTGGCTCACAAGTGTCAAAAGTATTTTGTTAGTTTAAGTGACTACAATGCAACTTTTATTTAGCAAGTAATTTGGACTTTGAGTATTGTTTTTATTATTACATCATTAGACATTCAACACTAAAGGTTATCTATATTGATTTGTTTTGCATATCTTTTGTGGTGCGTGTATGCTTAGATGAATAATACAAGCGTGCTCTTTATAGTAAGAAAAGGTCAGAGCATTGATTGGAGAAGCAGAATATTTTCTCTTTGTGTTAGGAAAATACTGACTTGATTGTTGGTGTAACCGTATGAAAGTTAGTTATACATTGAGGAAAACATCATACCCCACATGTTCAGTATATTGTTTATACCTTACTCCTTCCACGCTTTATTATGCTGAATTTCTGAGTTCTTTAGCGTAAAAAGTTCTCATATGATTTAAGTGGAAGTGATTGACTGAAAACATTTGCCAGTGGCATAAGAAAAACAAAGATGTTTAAATTTTCTGTTTGGCCCTTATGGAATGACACTTTTGTACATGGCACTATTGTGGGTATAAATATTTGTTCAAGGTTTTCTGTGCACCCGTGTGCACAGGGATTACTGTGATGTTGCAGTACCGGAATTTCACCATGTGCTATAGCGCAAGATTGAAGTGTTCAAAGTGTTGTAGCAGAATATATTTTTTATTCTTTATTTTCAATGGGATGTTCTTATCTATCAACAAAAATAAAATAGTTTGTTCATTGTTGTAACTGTCTGTTTTGTTTGATGTTGCGTATGTGTGTCAGCGTTGTTTGCGTAGGCAGGGGTAGCTATCTTATCTGGCATTTGGCAGTTCCTGACAGTTCATGTAAACATCTGCTACAAGGAAGTGTTAATCAAAAGGGTAAAATCATTCCAACGCTGTTTATCTGAAGCAATTAATGTTTGAACTTGGGCTGGTCTGTGCTTTCAAAATAACAACTTAAGAATATATGCAACAATTTAGTTTTGCATATAGCATTTTGCCACTTAGAGCTTGCAGAATTCTCATTTAACCACTGAGGGGAAGAGACTGCTAAAAACTGTCTTGTGTTCAGCTGAAGACCTGAAGTATTTTAAATCAAAGCAGTTAATGGCAGTAGGTTTGAACTTCATACACTTTGTGCTTTCTTCTTTCTATGATACAGAAGTCTGTTCCAGTGGCTGTTTGCAGTGATCAGTCTGCGCTTGAGAAGTACCTTCAGCTTCTTAAGTAACTTAATGGTAATCTCAAATCCTTTGCAGACAAATTATGGAACTTGGAAATTGGTAGTGACAATAGCCCAGAGGCATTTTGCATCTGATATCTCTCAAAAGATACTGAATATCTTTTTGGTGCGTATTTGATACAGAAGACAACGTGATGGATTCTCTTTGTTCCTCTGAGTTGCTTTTCTATCAACAGGGATTCATCTGCTTATCTGGTTATCTTTCAGTCGTCTTGCAAGGCAGTGCCATGACTCCTCACTGTGTTGCAAGACCTCTTCTATTTGAAGTGAAAATACTGCTGCCTGGGTGGACTAGGAGCTCCAACAATTCTTGTTGCAGAAGACCTATGCAATATTGAAATTGGCAAAGATGTTTAATCTGAATACTCATTGGTATTTGTAGACGCTCTACTTCCTTTCCAGTCACTCAGGGATATAATTTGCTCAAAAGCAATGTTAACCTTCTCTGTAACTCTGATGATAGTTTTATGTGAGTCTGTGGATGTGCTTGTGATGCTCTGAATGTGTTACAAAAATTCTACATTTGAGTATCTCAAATATTCCCGTAGGGGAAAAATGAAGCCCTGGGTAAGGCTGACTAAAATCTTGAAGTTTGAACCTGGTCAGATGAAGCACAATGGTTCTTTGTGCTTGTCTTTCCTTTAATTGGAGGTGAAAATCAGAGAATTGAAACATAGGTACAATGTTGAAATAATAATTTATCTCCCTGCGCAAGATGAGGGCTCCAATCACCTTTTCTTATTCATGTATTATTCCAGTGGGCCGATTTAGGATCATGTTTTCCTTTAGCTATGAATAACTAATGAAAGTCTATTCATATGTATGTATATAATGAGAAACTATAATGTAAATAATTTTTAATTTAAACGGCTTGACATCCAGAACCAAACAGTCAGAACAACCCGTGTCCAGCCAAATTGAAGCGGAGGCTGGTAGTCCCTGTTTTAAGATAATTTGTGTTACACTATTTATCTATTCTGTTTCCAGTTTGAGCTGACTAGGGTTTTTTTATGTTTCTCATTCTGCATTGTCAAAGATTATCTTAAGTCTGCTTGGTGTTTTTTGCCTAGACCACTTATGTAACTTTATGCATGGTTCTCTGTACCAGTTAGTTTTTAAAAGCTTTTTCTGTAATAGACTTAAAATAGTATCCGAAAGTAACGAGTGTATAGAAAGCAATGCTACCAGGAGAACCAAAGGTACTGCTCAGCACAGATGTGAGGGTTTTCAAATTAAATATAGCAGCTTTTGTATCTACAGCTTTTTGTGCTTCTAGGTTTGTCTTGTATCTGTCCTGTTCTAAGTTAGAGTTGAGGAGTATTTTACAGAATCGAAGTTCTGTTTGAGGTTGAAAGGGACCTCTGGAAGTCATCTGGTCCAACCCCTCTGCTCAAGCAGGGCCACCTGGAGCCAGTTGCCCAGAACCACGGCCAGATGGCTTTTGAATATCTCCAAGGATGGAAACTCCACAACCTCCCTGGGCAACCTGTGCCAGGGCTTGGTCACCCTCACAGTGAAAAAGTGGTTCCTGATGGTCAGGGGGAACCTCCTGTGTTTCAGTTTGTGCCCATTGCCTCTGGTCCTGCCACTGCACAGAGCCTGGCTCTGTCCTCCTTGCACCCTCCCCTCGGGTGTCTCTGTGTATGGATGAGATCTCCCCGGAGCCTTCTCTTCTCCAGGCTGAACAGTTCCCCCTCTCTCAGCCTTTCCTCACAGGAGAGATGCTCCAGTCCCTTCGTCATCTTTGTGGCCCTTTGCTGGACTCTCTTCAGTACGTCCGTGATGTCTGTGCCCATGTTGTACTGGGGAGCCCAGAGCCGGACCCAGCACTCCAGGTGTGGCCTCACCAGTGCTGAGGGGAGGGCAAGGATCGCCTCGCAGCATGCCTGCTTGTACAGCCCAGGATAGCATCAGCCTTCTTTGTGGCAAGGGCGCATTGCTGGCTCATGGTCAGCTTGGTGTCCAGCAGGAGATCCCAGGTCCTTTTCTGACAAACTGCTTTCCAGCTGGGCAGCCCCCAGCATGTACTGGTGCGAGTACTTTGCACTTCTCTTTGTTGGACTTCATGAGGCTCCTGTCAGCCCATTTCTCCAGCCTGTCGAGGTCCTTCTGGATGGCAGCACGACCCTCTGGTCTATCAGCCACTCCTGCCCGTTTTGTGCAATCTGCAAATTTGCTGAGGATACGATCTACCTCATCATCCAGATCATTAATGAAGATGTTGAACAGGACTGGACCCAGTACTGACCCCTGGGGTACACCACTAGTCACTGGCCTCCAGCTAGACTGCGCTGCTGATCACCACGCTCTGGGCCCGGCT